GTTGTAGGTTGCACTGGAACATTGACAGCTGATGTCTTAGAGACCTGGCGGGCTGTGTGTGGTGAAAGTCCAACTACCGGTTCTGCACGACCAGAACACATCTCCGCCGCGTCCATGCTTAACGAAAAGCAGGAAAATATTCAGAACAACTGGACGACTGGGAAAAGGTAACTAACTTCATGGCTACAGGGAGCTACAAACGAAACCTAAAGTCATAGATTACAAACAAACAAACATTAAGGTGTTTAGAACGCAACAGCACTTACGTCAAGCCCACTTCCTAAGTTCTTACTTCAGGAAAAAAGAAAAAAACGATGCTCTAGTAGAAGCAGAACCGACTTTCCTCTCTTTGGTGACGCACAGTTTTACTTTTGAAGAAAATAAGGTTTGTTTTTGGTGAAGTGATTTAAAGAACGGTGATAGAAGAGGACGACATTTAAAATCAAGATATTCCTGGGTGTGGACCTACGAAAGACTGGCCATGTTCAGAAGGGATCTTGGGGATTTGGAATACAGGCGGGTACTCAAAAGCGCTCCAGTGAAGTATGCAGACTTCATATCAAATGAGACAGTTCGCACTCGCTGCGACAGTATCACGAGGATATTTCAGGCCAGCGGACGTCACCGTGGTAGGGGACGATTTTTAAGCTATGCTTAAATACCAACTACATGCACTTCAGTAGGCATAGTGGTGCCCACTACTGCAGCCCCCAACATAAATATATTTAGATTCCTGCGGCTACCTTTAGTTTTACTATAGTTTAGTTTATTCAGTCTATCCAAAAAAATACTACCGAGGTGGTTTGGGTACGGGTCTCTATCGTCCGTCTCATGAGCTTTGCTATGCTGCCCTCGATCCGGCGCCGCGTCCCAGCTAGAGGCCTCGAAGACGAAGGAAACTCAAGACCTGGATATACACCGTGCGTCAAGACATGGAAGCGGTTCTTTGAACTTCGGTCACTTCGCTGCAGAAGGGAATAGATGGAGCTCTCTAGACCCACTGCCGCTAATTGTCACGCGTGGAGAGGTGCCGTCCGTGGCATCATTGAGACCGGATAGATCAGGCTTGATCACAGACGTATTAAGTAAAAGTACAAGGAGTGACTAGCGTTACATGTCAGACGGATGCTAGGAATGCATGCATAGCCAATACAAGCGAACATGCGTGTCT